AAGAATTTATTCACTCCTATGTTCACAGCAGCACAATTCACCATAGCTAAGATTTGGAAACAGCCTAAGTGCCCATCTTCAGAAAAGTTGATTAGAAAACTGTGGTACATCTACAGGATGGAATACTATGCTGCTCTAAAAAAGAAGGAACTCCTACCATTTGCAATGGCATGGATGGCACTGGAGAGCATTATGCTAAGTGAAATAAGCCAGTCAATGAAGGAAAAATACCACATGATCTCACTCATTCATGGATAATAGAGACCATTTTAAACTTTTGAACAGTATTAAATACAGAGGCAGAGCTGCCTCGAACAGATAGAAAAGGGACAAAGCCTACCTGTGTCAATGGACTGAAGCCTTGTCCACCATGAAGTGAATGGGCCCAATCAGGATATTCAAGAGTAGAGGAAATGCCAAAACAACAAAGTATATTTTCTTGTCAATGGTGAAACCTCTTTCCAAAGGAAACCTGAAGAAAGGCATAATATCTTTCATTTATGCTGAGGATACTGGCATGTCTTCTTTCAAAGCAGTTTCCACACTGACTATGTGGATGTAAAAAACAACAGAGCCTTGTTGTAAGAACTCTAGGTTATAGAGATTATGTGAAAAGAGCCTTTGGATTGTGTTCTGGTTGGGGTCAGCTGAGCTGAGAAAAAGAGGTGGGCTGGCAAGCATTGGCACTTGGAGTCCACACAAAAGCTTGATCTAGTTGCAATGGGACTTACTCTGTGGGCACAATTTCATTTCCTCTGTTGGAAGCAACAAATGCCTGTAAATGTATCAGCAGCTGATTTGAATTCCCTGGCACCTATTTGAATTCCTACAGCCCAGGCTACCCATGGCAGAGATAGCACCCCTTACTGCTCCTCTCAAAAGAGGCACTAATACTTAAGTCTCAAGCATTATCACAGTTTTAAAGGAGACACAGGTTTTTCCTGATGCATTAGAAAGCATTGTAAGGCAAAGGAAATTAAGGAGAAAATAAAATAAAAAGCTTCTGCACAGCAAAAGAAACCATCAACAAAACAAGAAAGTCTACTGCATGGGAGAACATATTTGCCAATGTTAACTCCAATAAGGGCTTAATATCCAACATTTACAGAGAACTCATACAACTTAACAAAAGGAAGATAATCGAATCAAAAAATGGGCAAAGGACCTAAATAGATACTTCTTCAAAGCAGACATACAGACAAGTGACATATTAAAAAATGTTCAGTCACTATTCATCCTAGAGATGCAAATTAAAACCACAATAAGGTACCATCTCACACCTATCAGAATGACTACTATCAACAAATGACAAGTGATGGTGAGGATGTGGAGAAAAGAGAACCCTTGTACACTGCTGGTGAGACTAGTGCATCCTCTTTGTAAAACAGTATGGAGTTTCCTCAAAAAATTAAAAATGCAACTCCCATTTGACCCAGGAATCCCACTTCTAGGAATATATCCTAAGAAACCCAAAACACACATCCAAAAGGATATATACATCTCTATGTCCATGGTAACGCATTTTACAATAGCTAAGATTTGGAAACAGCCTAAATGCCCATCAGTAGATGAGTGCATAAAAAAAATTAGAATACTACTATGTAATACTACACGGCAATAAAAGTAAAGAACCCTTACCATTTGCAATAGCATGGAGGGACTTGGAGTGTTCCACAAAGCAAAATAAGCAATTCAGAGAAAGATTACTATCATCTCACTCATATGTGCAATCTAATGACCCAAATAAACTAATGAACAAAAATAAACCCAGGCTCATAGAAGCATGAACAGAACTTCGGAGGGAAGACAGGGGAGGGTAGATGGGAAGAGATCAACCAATGAAATTGTATGCATGTGTGCATAACCCATGATAGAAGGCCTGAGGTGGGCACAGGTTGGAAGTCAAGCCAGAAGAGGTCAAATGGGGTGGCAACGTGGGGCATATATAATACTTTCACTAATAAAAATTTATAATAAAAGAAAAGCATTGTAAAAAGGGGTGGGAACACAAACATTTTGATTCTATGGCAAAAGAGGAGAGAGGTTTTGTATTTGCTATGCAACTCTTTTTAAAAGAGTTATCTTTGTGCCCAGGCTCATGTGACTCATTAGAGTCATCCTGTACAATTTACAATAACTAAGATTTGGACCTGGAGAGTATTATGCTGAGCAAAACACTGTGTGTGTGTGTGTGTGTGTGTGTATGTGTGTGTGTGTGTTTTCCTAATCAGGGGACATACCTACATTGTAGGTTCGATTCCCGCGGGGTGCATATGGGAGGCAATGGATCAACGTTTCTCTCTGTCTCTGAAATCAGTGATAGCATATCCTCGGATGAGTATTAAAAAAAAAAGTACACTGGCAATCCTACAATTGTACAAAAGAGTCTTGAAAGCAAAAAATAATTACGAGACAAAATGCATTAAACTGTCAAAGAATCATCAATGAAAAAATATATGACTATAAATGTATATATACCTACCATCAAAACTGCAAAATGCAGAAGGAAAAATGAACAGAAATCATGGAAAAAATAAGCTATTCTACAAAAACAAAACCCAATAAAAGCCATCTCCTAAAGAGTGATGAGTTATTTTTTTTAATTTCCTCAATATTTTAAAAAATAACTACAATTATACATTATTTCTGATTCCTAAAAAAGAGCAGAGGTTAAAAAGTATTGTTTCAAGTTAGTGACCCAAAAGAAATTTTAAAAATTAATGATCATAAAGAACTTATGTACAATGATTTTGATTTTACTGATAGAAGGTATTTTCTAAACTTTTTAAAGTGAAAATTGAAAAAGTAATATTTAATCAAGTATTTCAATCTCAAGCTATAGTCAGTTAAATGAGGGAAGGAACTAAAAGTAGATTCCCAGAAAAGAATGAAGCAAGGAAATGAGAAAATGAGTACACAAAATGAGACAATAGAAAAACAAGTAGGTTCTACTCCTATCCAGCTATTAACCAGAAACCGTTTAAATGCTTAGTGATTAAATCTTTCTTGCTAATTCAGCAATTTTCTATTCTCATCCTAAGTAGTATAAATAGGAACTTATGTTCTAAATTCCAGTGTTTTGGTTTCTTTTTAATCAGAGTTGTCCCTTGGGAAAGAACCTACAAAATCATTACCCAAAGTGGCAATTTAAACTATTAGGTATAGCAGAGATTTTCAACTGGTGTGCCTCAAGAATTTTCAAAACATGCAAGATGGGCACTGATATCTTTTTCCTTATATTGTTAAATTTAAAAATGACAACAGCCAAAACAATAACCGTCCAGTGTGAATGAATAAAAATTATAGCTAATATAATTAGAAGATCAGCAACAAATATATTTTTTAGTGTGCCGCAGAATTCTAGTAATTAATGTGTACTAATGAGGTGAAAAAGATTGAAAATCTCTGCCCTAGAACATGTTCCATCCCCAGCTTCTTTTTCAAACCTGTAAATTCTGGATCTTTTGAAGTTCATTAGACATATTAGAATATTATTTTACAATTTCAGGAGTGAAGGTTTCAATATTTTCAAATGAAATGTCCTTTCCCTGCAATTTATCACTCCAAGGTGTAAAAACCTATTGCGCAGTCGCTAGATATTTTTAGAATTCTAAGCACTAACCCCAGAACAAGTGGAGTCTATCATTATGAAGGTCTCAATATTCTTGTATTCAAAGAGGGGTAAGTAAAAGACAAGTGGAATATTCAAGCGAGATTTGCAAAATGAGAGACGAAAGGCCAGGTGGGAAAAGGCTGAAGCACACCCCAAAGGTAGAAACACAGACACACACAACGCACACCACACCACACCACAACACATCCACACAAAATGAGATAGTTATTACAAAGACTATGGTGCTCACCGATTTTGTTAGACCGAGGTCCTCCGAAATCACCTCCGCAATGTTTGGCCACATGTAGATTCTGCCAAGAGCCACAAGTTCAGGAAACAAATGACCCTAACTTCTCCTACTCGGTGTCCAACCAGTCCGCGATTCGGCGGACAGCAAAAGACCAAAAAACGGGGGCACACCGCCATTACTTAACTGCGCAACAACCTGGCCTTTTCTGCAGGAGCTCACCTCTCTGAGCGTCCAGCCACCTGCCAAAACCCAAGGGCAAGTCCTCACCGCGGCGCCTACCACCGAAGGCACCTGGACAGTGTGGCGTGGAGAATGGACAACGGAGTCCTAGGACCGTGGGGAAATCCTGTGTCGCTTGTCGCACGTGGTGTCACAAATGCTCTCCCCCGCCACATTCCTTTTATCCCTCAGTGCGGGCTATATTCTCATCTCCTTCATTACTCAGCTGAGAGTTCTAAAATCCTAAAATTTCCCTCCACTCCGTTTATTCCGATACAACGCCACACACACACCTGTTGCCAGTGTCGTCACCGTTGCAGTAAAAAAAATTCGAAAGTTCGACTGGTGGCAGCCCAGTTCACTCTATACCCTGGCGCCCAGGGGCAACCAGGATATTTCCCGAACTTACCGGCACTGGCTTGGTTGTCGTCCGATTCTTTCCGGTTTCAAAGGTCTCCTCAGAGCCGCCTATTCCCCACACTCCCCCTTTTACCTGCCTAGCGCAGACATTACGGAAGTACACCAAGCCCTAAAAATGGGCTAGCAGCCTAGCAGCCAGTGGAGCTCCTAAACTTCCGAAATCCAGAGGCCAATGACTGCGCCGCAGGCTACCCACGTGACCGGAGGTTTGACACCGTCCCCACCCTCACCTCCCCCAGACCCCCCTCCGTGGTGGGGAGCAAATGACAGTGGGCTGGATTTTTAGGCCAAAGGGCAAACAGAGGGCAAACGAGTCTGCGCAGACCGACATAAACATTATGGAAGGCACTGCAAGTCCCAGCAACCCGCGCGACCCTAGCTCTGAATCTAAGATTGGGATAGAGAACAATTGTAAATTCTGAAAAGAAAACCCGCCCTGCTACGCGTGCAGCCTGCTGGGACTTGTAGTTTTCAAGGGGATTATGTAACCCAGTGATTAAAAATACTAGAATTTTGGAAATATTCCAATATTTGGGAGAACGAGAGATCAGGGTCAGGTAAGAACAATCATAATGTGTTTATGTTCCTGTTCGGTCACATGCCGTTCTCAGCCCGAATCATTTGGGGCGAAGGGGTCTTACTTTGCAAAAAACAGAATACTGGCTTTAGAACTTAAGTTTTCCTGCTGGATACATGTCTAGAGCTCTGCCCCTACCCCAGAATCCTCAATATCGTTTACCCTTCCAGAATTACAGCATAAGACAGAGATCACTGAGACTTTTGGCTAACCCAGCCATCATTCAAACACAGTGATCCACAATTACTTGAGGCTTCCTACTAGTTGAAATGATTCTATTGTCTCCACCATGTTTCCTTTCTTAGGTTTATAACAAATTTGCTTTCTGAAAAGTTCAAGTCCATGGTGCTAGGGCAGGCTAAATAGCCATCTTAGACGATGAGTGAAGAAAAACTGAATTTTTTTTATGTATGGCATATTCTTAAGGGAAGGGCTACACAGCACTGAGTCAGGGGTTGAAGTCCATGATGGCAGCAAAAATGTACTTAGGCCAGTGAAACAAGGAAGGGCACAGAAGAAGCAACAGGAAGTCTCCGTTGGGCTGCCTTACTTCACTGACAAGTCAGAGAAAAGGAGGCCTTGGACACAGGTTCAAGGGGTTAGCCTCAGAGGAGTTGCGACTGCCTATTGCTCCCCTGGTTTTGACAGTGATAGGGGCAGAAATTGAATGTTGGGGAACTAGCTAGAATTGTAAGAAATATTAATCATGCTCTATTATCCATGATTGTTTTTTTCTCATTAAAGAAGGCACATTCTAACCTGGCTGGCAGCTGCATTGAGAACCTGAGAGCTCACCACCTGGAAGTACAGACTATCCTCCCCATTTGGAGTTGCCTATTATCATGGAAAAGATTAACAACTTTGTTGCAGAAACCAGAGCAGCCAGACCTTTGAAGACCCTTGCCCTCTTTGCATATCACTAAACCCTTTAAAGATCCCCAGCCCTCTGCTTACCTGTAAACTGCTCATTTGGCATACCTTTTTGCCTGTTTCCCAAGTAATTCTTTATCTACCAATATAAGCAGTCAGCTTATGGCGGCATGTAGAGCAGATTTCTGTGGATCACCTGCTGCTCTCCTATGCTGTTGGCAGGATTGGAATAAAAGCTTATGTATCAAACCTGTCTCTGCTTAATTGGCTCAAGTAGTGACAGGCAGCATAGACCCATTGATTGTCTGGTTATAGTTTCAAGTCGCTGGGGCCCCTTGGAGGTTAGGAGATATATAAGGTAGAGCAGTGATGGCAAATCTATGACACCTATGTCACCTCTGACACGCGAACTCATTTTTTATTGATTTTTCTTTATTAAATGGCATTTAAATATATAAAGTAAATATCAAAAATATAAATCTTTGTTTTACTGTGGTTGCAAATATCAAAAAATTCCTATTTGTGACATGGCACCAGAGTTAAGTTAGGGTTTTTCAAAATGCTGACACACCGAGCTCAAAAGGTTCGCCATCACTGTGGTAGGGGAAGGAGAGAGAGAAGGGAATGGCACTATTGCACTCTTTGGAAGGAGAATGTGGATTGGATCCTTTCTTGGTTTATTTACCTCTTTCTTGCAGGTGTAAATCTTAGGGGAGGTCCTAGAGGAGGTCTTAATAGAATATTTATCAGCTTCTTAGATGTGCTCTTTGAGGGTCCTGGTTCTCCACTGACTGGCTGACACCAAGGAAAGGGGTTATTATTCATAATAGCTGGTCCTGAGGCAGCATGGTGTCATTTGTCTGGTTTTCTGGGCCTGGAGCTGAAATACAACTGAGGCCTAAAGGTTATCTTTAGGAGGAAGAGTTCAGAGGGACTAAACCTCCTGACCAGTGATATGATAGGGGAGGATAGACCCTAAGGGCAAAGTTCTTATTTTCTAAGTTTTACCACTTATTAGGAATCTGGGGCTTTCTGCCTTGTAAGTTTCTGTACCTGAACCATCTTTCTAGCTCTCCTCATGTATGCCTAACAGTTTCCAGGTTTTTTTTCTTTGTTTTTGTTGTTGGTTTTAGGGTTCTGAAAAATGTTTCTTTTTATTATTATTATTTTTAATCCTCACACAAGGATATTATTCCATTGGTTTTTAGAGAGAGTGAAAAGGATTGGGAGAGACAGAGGGAGAGAAACATTGATGTGAGAGAGACATATTCACTGGTTGCTCCTGCACACCCAGCCTGGGGCTAGGGATTGACCCCTTAACCAGAATAAAACCCAGGACCCTTCAGTCCTGGGCCAACATTTTATCCACTGAGCCAAACTAGCTAAAAAATCACAGACACAACAGTATGTAGTTACCAGAGAGAAGGAGTAAAGGGTAATAAATGGTAAAAGGGGTCAAATATCAGGTGAATGAAGATTTCATTTTGGGTGGGAAACACAGAATGCAATATACACAGGATGTTATAGAATTATACCCCTGAAACCTATACAATTTCATTTACCAGTGTTACCCCAGAATTTTAATTTAAAAAGAAAGAAATAAAGGGAAAATATCACCACTTTAATTGTAACCATGGTTTTAAGAAGCCATCATCAGCTATCTAATAAATAAGTAATATGCAAATTGACCATCACACCAACACACAAGAAGGCCACCCCAGTGTGGACATAAGATGGTCGCCACAAGATGGCCAGCAGGGGAGGGCAGTTGTGGGTGATCAGAGGAGCAGGAGAGGGCAGTTGAGGGGAACCAGGACTGCAGGAGAGGACCATAGGGGAGGAACCCCCACCAACAGGGGAGTCGGAGGAGAGCAGGCAGACAACTTGGCCTGCAGGGAAAATCAGGCTGGCAGGGGAGGGCTGTTAGGGCAACCATGCCTGCAGGGTAGCACAGTTAGGTAGCGCAGTTAGGGGCAACCAGGCCTGCAGGGGAAGGCAGTTGGGAGGGACCAGGCCTGAAAGGGAGGACAGTTTGGGGTAACCAGGCCTACAGGAGAAGGCAGTTTGGGGCAACCAGGCAGGCAAGGAAGTGTAGTTAAGGGTGACTGGGTTGAGCAGGGTTGAGCAGTTGTGGGTGATCAGCTTGCAGTTGAGGATAGTTAGGAGCAACTAGGCCAGTGGGGAGGGAAGTTAGGGGCAATAGGGCTGGCAAGGAAGTAGTTAGGCATCTATTAGGCTGGCAGGGGAGTGGTTAGGGATGGTCAGGCTGGCAGGCTGAAGCAGTTAGGTGCAAATAGGGAGGTAGGCAGGTAGGCAGGGGAGCAGTTGGGAGCCAGCAGTCCTGGATTGTGAGAGGGATGCCTGACTGCCTGTTTAGGCTTGATCCTGGTGGGATCGAGCCTTAATGGACAGTCAGACATCCTCTGAGGGGTCCCAGATTAGAGAGGGTACAGGCTGGGTGAGGGACACCCCTCCTCCCCCATGTACAAATTTCATTTACCAGGCCTCTAGTTACTATATAATTCCAGAATACTTATATCCTCCCCAACTCCCCTCCCCCAAATTACTCCACATTCTCCCTTCACCTCATTGATTGGCAATTATCAATCTGTCTCCTCTCTACAAATTTACATGACATATATGGTCCTTTGTGTGTGGTTTCTTTCACTTATTACAATAATTTCAAGATTGTACCATCAATCAAATCTTATTTCTTTTTATGGCTCCATAGAACTGCATTTATTGGATTTACCACATTCTCTATTTATTCCTCTGGAGATGAACATTTGGATTGTTTCTCTATTTTGTGGTTGTCATAGTATTGCCATGAACATTTGTGCACAAATATTTGAGTATATACCAAACAATAAAATTGTCAGATCATATAATTCTCTTTAACTGAGGAACCAACAGGTGTTTTCCACAGCACTGCACAATTAAAATTCCCACCAGCAACATATAAGGATTCCAATTCCACATCTGCCCTTTTTAAATTTGGGCTTTTATTGTTGAGATATAGATGTTCTTTATAAATTCTGGATACAAGATTTATATCAGATATGGTTTGCAAATACTTTCGCCCTTTCTGTGAGTTAACTTTTTTTTGATATTGATGAAATTCAATTTATTTTATTTTTCACTTGGACTTTTGATGTTGCATGTTAGAAACCATTGCCCATGGATGTGATGATTTATGGTATGCTTTGTCCCAAACATTTTGTAGTTTTAGTTTGTTTTTCCTTTATAACCTTAAACTATTTGAATTAATTTTTGTGTATGCTATATGACAGAATTTAACTTCATTATTTTACTTGATGACCAATTATCTTAGCACCATTCTCCCCCATTCAGTGGTTTTGACACAGCTTGTAGAAAATCAACTGACCAAATTGTAAATGTTTATTTCTGAGGTCTAAATTTTATTCCATTTATCTACATTGTCAGAAGTATTGTCATGTAATCTTAAGAAATTGTTTCCAAAATTGATTTGGTTTTCTCAGCTCTGCGTAATTCCCACATGAATTTTAGGATCACCTTGTGCATTTTGGAGGAAGCAAAGCAAAACATAGAAGTCTTTCCATTTTTTTGTTCAGGTCTTTTAAAAATTCAACAATATTTTTCATTTTTTTTTGTACAAGTACTGCACTTTTTTGGTTAAATTTATTAGTATGTGTTTAATTCTTTTTGATACTATAGTGAATAGTATGTTTCCATAATTTAATTTTTGAATTATTCAT